GCCGGACACGGACGAGCCCCCGGCCTCCCCCTGCTCACCATTGTGGTCCATGATGCGGCGCGGGGCGCTGTGGGAGCGGAAGGGCGCGGCCGGAAGCGGCGGGGCACGGGCGGGGCGCGGGCGGTGGAGCAGCGCTCCCTGGGCCCCGGCGGAGCGCGGCCGCCTTACACCGGGGCCCGAGGGGAATGGGCGGAGGGGAGCTGAGGTGCCTCACACCGCGGCCGGAGGGGAACGGGCGGAGGGGAGCGGAGCCGCCTCACACCGGGGCCTGAGGGGAACGGGCGGAGCGGAGCGGAGCCGAGCCGCCTCACACCGCGGCCTGAGAGGAATGCAGTGGTCCCGGGGTGCAGAGTCGCGACTGTTTGGGACTAGGAGGCCTGTGGTTTTGCGGGGAATGATGAAATGAAAGCATGAGAGGAGTCTTTGAGCTCAGGAGCCGCAGAGGCCCCGTCCAGCCGCCTTCAAACACACTGGAAAGATGTGACGCTGCATCGCGCTTTCGGCTGCTAATGGTCAGCGTTAAGTTTCAGCATGGAAATTGCAAATACCTGACATGCTGTAAAAGTGATGGAACACTGAATTGCCAGAGCACTTCGAAACTTCATGGAGCAGAGCTCACTGTCTCAAGAGAGGACTTAATGCAATTTCCATACATTTAGAATTATGTGATTCCTGTTCAGTGGGATGCTGAATGTTTGGATAGCACTGAACAAAGGCAAGAAATAAAACTAAGGCAGAGTTAGAAGTAAAAAATGGCCTTGAGCAGTCCTTGCACAACAAGTAGGATAACTCCAGGCACTTCAGATTGGTGGTTGTCTCACTAAAAGCCTCCTGGACTGGGATTTTGTCCRCCTACAGACAATGTCTCATCCTTTTGGCCTTAACATTTAAAAGCTGTCATTTAAGTCTAACATTTATCCGCACAGGGCAGAGAGAACCAGTTTACCTTTTGTCTTTATTGATCCTCAAAACAAGACAAGTGTGACACTGATCCCTTCATGATAAGCTTTATATCTCCATAATAAGAATATACAAAGAAACTACTTAAAAAACTCAAAAACAAACAAGAAACTCACAAATATACAGATACAAGGAGCATGGTTTCAGTATGCATAACTTTATTTTCTAGTTAATGGATACAATTGCTTTTCAAATGCAGCTTTTTAAAAGGGTAAAAAACTTAAAATACATCTCCAAATTTAGTATCTAACATGCAAAGACAACAGCAATACTCAAAATGCATATAAAAATACCTCKTCTTCATCCTACTGGAAAAAGATAACCACACCTAGTTACACTACTTAYGGATATTTGAATTAGTACAAAACTGTAGAGAATTTTATCTTCATTGAAAAATTCATTATTTTGGTATCCTTCAGTTTGCTGGGTACATAGAAAATTAAGCACATACCCACTTGAGAAAGGCATTTGAATGCATTCTGCACATTACCTCTTACACTTCCACTATAGGCTTGAGTGAAATGTTATTTTTCGGAAAAAGTTTAATATTTTGTGCCAGTTAAATTAAGGACAGATACAATCATGTCTGGAAGAAATATGCAGGCTGAGAATAAGTGCRTTTTATTACATTTTATCACAATCCCAGCTCAGATGTCATATTTGGAAAAGAACTGGAAGACTACTGAGTATTTAATTGCTTTTTAAACACCTGACAAGAACTAGAGAAAGTTTAAAAAATAATGTAAGCCCACATCTCYGTCAAGTAAGAATCTGTACTCAAACTTCACAGTGCAGATGTTGTCTTGAGAAAAAAATAACCACAATTTTTTACCATCTTTTCCCTAGAGTGTGTCCTGCTTTAACAATTAGCTGAAAGCTCACTCACCCGGTAGAACGTTTTACATAAAATRTACATCTGTTTCAGAAAAGCAATACAGCTTCTGAGAAACATGTCACTGGCCTTGTGCACTGGCAACAGCTCCAGTAGTCAGGTTAATAGGAGCTGGGGCCACAGCCTGATGGGAACTTCACGACAGCAAGGTGGGCAGAAGTGCCACCTCCTGTGAGAAATCTTCTCTGTGCAGTGTGATGTGGAAAAATTTGATGTAATCAAATAAAAAGAATTAAATATACTGAAGCTAATTAGTCCACATTGTTAAACTTAAAGGCATTTTATACCTGGGCATTTCTTACACTTTAGTTATTACCTGTTTCCTCACCATGCAGGAAAACCCTCACCAGGTTGTTATTTTTTTTTTCCATTTAAAAAATAATGTAGTGCTAAAAAATTTAAGGTAGCAGTCTGTTTTCCATCAAAATACATTTCTTCATGAAAATTCAGGACATTAGTTAAGGATTAAAGTTTTGCTGGTCAAATCTTTATCTTTTGTAAATTATTGCACTTGTGCATGATGAACTTTCAAATATAAAAGAAGAGCAGCAGTTTGATGTAGAATATTAAAAGAAAAAATCTCTATAAAAATATAACTATTCATTAAACAAAAAATACATCTATATTTCATTTAAAAAACCCACAMACTTCTATACTAGGTCACATTCTAACTTTCTTGCTTGCACTCAGTTTCAGCCTGTTCTACAGATTCCAYTCAACACCCAGGGACTAAGGTTTTCCTTAATTTACGTCATGATCTGCCTGTTGATGAAGATTATGTAACCTAGCCGAAATAATCTTCTGTGTGTCCTTCATTTAAGGGACAATCATTAATAGTAATGCATGACTTGCTACCATGGGATTAATACAGAGCTAGTGAACCCATATCCAAGGGTCTTTTGAAACTTATCCTATTTAAAGTATCATAGTAGTTCAGTGCTGTTTTCTCTTCATGTGACAGTTTCACCTGTCACCTTTTTCAGTGATCTAACAACCTGCAGCAGTTTAAGGAATTTCTTGAAAAAAATGATCATGATACATTTTTCAAGGCTTGTCAGCACATATTCTACACTAATGTTCTAGAATTCAAAGCCTTGGCCAGYTGGAACTCTCGCCCTTTTGCTGGGCATTGTACAAATACCGAACAAAAGGTTTGCCATCCAAAGATTTTGGTCTCTTCAACTCTCCTGGGCAAACCACAAAGCAGCTTTTCATCCTGTATACACTGATAAAAGGGTAGTGCAACTTCTGCCTGACTAGTCCCAAAACTGAGTACATCTTTCACAACAGTCTTCTGATTTTCGTTTTTATTAAAATGTATCATAGCAGAAAGTGCTTGCTGAATCAAGGTCCAGAATACTTCTGGGATGTTAGCTAAAATTTGGAGAGTTATAGAGATCTGTATCATTCAGACAAACAATCAGGGTCTTCTTCAAGTGCAAAGATTGGTTTCATAGCAGAAAATGCTGATATAGATAGTACTGGTGCGTGAATATTGCTGTGTGCTCACAGGTAGGAGTATCAGCAGTCCTTCAGGAAGCAAGTCGGCGCATAGCCTRGAGAAATGGGTTTTGAAAGGTGGAGAGAAACAGGCCATGGTTAGTTCAGCATATACACCATGTGGAAAAATTACATGTTTGTGTAAACTAAAAGCCCAGTGAAAGTACCAAGAGAGTAACTTCTACAAAATGTGTGGATTGTGCAAGAAGGTGTCTGCTGTGTTAAAAGGAGTAATGAAAGGGGGCGGTTGACTATCATTTTGGACTCTGATGGCTCAAGCCTTGCCACGTCTTCTTTTAGGCACCCAACTTGTATTTAGATATATTCTTAAGGCTGTGTAAGGTAAAAGCAACCCTAAAGCAAAGAGAGATAAGGAGATACTTAAGCAGATATAATCTACTACTATCTCAAGAAAACTTGACTTCCCCCACTCAGGACTGACATTCGGTAGCCAGAGAGGGTACTTATTTATGAAGACATGTTGAGGGCCATCCTCTCACARCATGACTCAATGCTACAGGCAGAGGGATATAGACACATTTGGTTCTAAAGTGCATACCTCTTCCTGAACATCAAGTTCATCATCAGGCCGGCTTGTTTCTGTGAACTCTATGGGTTCTTTAGACTCCTGCATGAGTGAAATCTTGATAGAAAGAAATTAAGAAACATGAGTTATGTATTGTCCATATCATTGAAACAGATTTTTTTTTTACTCTGAAGTACCTTAAAATAACTTCCACAACTTAGAAGAGTCTGTTCTTTACTGTTCCATGACAAAGATGATGATTGACTTCAGCTGAGAGAAAAATTASAGAGCTTGTAGGTCTTATAAATTACAGAGCTTGTAGGCCTGTCTYTGCTCACGTGACTAGTTATGGCTTTGTAAAAATAATAAAAACACAACCTATCGCTAAACTGCTATATAGCATTATGCAAATATTAATCTCTACTATAAAACAATTAGTATGAAAATGTTATAAAAAGTAAGGGTCCTATCCTAGTTTTCAGTAATACTACTTTTAATTGCTATTTATTCATAATACGGTAGCAGTGATTGCTAAGAAAGGAATTGTGGTAAAAAGAAAGGAGGACATTATAYGACCATTTTCCTAATGAGGGCCCACATCATTAAATGCTACAGAGTGTTCTGGTTATCTAAACAAACCACAGAACACAATGAGGAAATGCACAGAGAAGGGCAGTAGGAATGAACACTGGTGTGGAACAGCTTCTGTACACATCCACACCAAGTAGAATGAGATTATAGCTTTGATCAGAAGTCTGAACTGTTGGGAAAGGGAGCAGGAAATGATTATTCATTGCAGCTAACAATCCAGAATCCCAGCAGGTTTAAACCAAGCAGGAAATATTTGTCATATAACACATCTAAAATTAGAGAACCCATCTCCACAGGATATTGTCACAGGTTCCAAAAGGAGTATGACAGACACATTGAAGAAAACTCCATCTGTGACAATTACATATAATGTTCCAATGCAACTTCCAGCTGAGGAGGATCTTAAGACACCAGTTGTCAGAAATGAGCAAATGTGTCTTAGGATGAAGAGTTTTCCATGTGTGCTGTTTCTCCTGTTCTTTTTACTAACAAGCTCTTGGAGTTGACAGATCCTTCCTTTTATCTAGAAGAATACTCATGTACTACAGATGCTGCCCAATTTACTCCACTCACACTTTTTTTTGTATTACAGTTCTAGATTTCRAATGTGCCATGCTATAATGGAAACATCAAGAATGAGTGCTAGATGATAGAAGGAAGGGAAATGTACTACTGGATATCCTTACCTTTTCAAATATGGGATCCTGGTTGTCACTGTATGTCATCTGATTCCTTATGTAGAGCACAGCATCATGGACAGTCAAGAAAAATATGTCTTTTCTGACAGTGTCATCAAAGAAAGCACTCCGTTCCAGCTGAGATATAAGGTTGTCTGAATAAAAGGAAGTCATAACAGGTTCACACAATATTAAGTAATTTAAGAAATAAATGTCAAAATACATGGTTGCAATTATCAGAAATCAAATGTACAGCCAAATTACTCCATCAATTATAGTTTAGTTTTTACTTTTCCTTTCTATATTTCCTTTACACCCCGCCATTCTTTGTGTCCCAATGGAGGCCACAATGTTTATCAGTGTGACAATTCATATATTTATTAGTGCAGATGCTACCACAGACACATCTAGAGATCACTTCTCACCTTMATTTTATTCTCTGCATGAGCGACAGTAGAAATATTTGGATATTTACCTTGATATGAAGCAAAGTATACTCTCACATCAATTCTCTCAAACTCTTTAATTATCTAAAAAAAAAAAAAAGAAGTTTGCAACGAAGACATCAATAAATAAAGCCTGTRAGGAGAAAATATGTGTCTGTATGTATCTGTAATGTATAGGTATAGGTACACACAATTCTTTTCTTATTGTCTTCATTGCACATAGTACGTTCTATTTATTCATCATAAATAAGATACTGCTATACTTTGCTATACTTAAAGATCCAGTACTTAAGTACCTGGTTGCTGCAGTGGCCTACCTTCAACTATGTAAATGGAACTACCCATTTGAGTCACACAAATATCACTGCCAATTAGGGTTGTCATTCAGTTCTCATAATATGAATAATCATCTCTCCACGTGGGCCCAATTTTCCCCCATGAATGTGCAACACGATACAATCATTCGTGGGCACAGGCAGATTTTTTACACAGATATTTTCCCTCATGCAGTGCACCAGATGGACCTGTTCTTGGATGAAAAGGCTACATATGGAAAGAGTGATGACAATGGACCCTGTAGTCCGGTGTAACTAGGCAGAAGGCTRAAGCAAGGCACACACTACTCCTGTATTTCACTTAGCTTAAAARGCAGGAGACTGGAATCTATCCCTGGCTCCCTGATGGCAGGCAAGTCTCTTAGAATAGTATTTTCAGAGGTGRCTACTAACTCCATTCCCTTCTGCTAACTGATAAACTAGAGTAATCGTAAAGAACTGGTTTACAGATAGGCTAAGTAGTCCCAACTGTGAAATTAAGTTAGTGAAAGCAACATACAAAATATCAGAAAATACTAAAGACTGAACAATCTGGTCCTACACCCTTGCAACTGGGCACAAAAAAWTGGAAATACTCAGCCTTAATCTTCAAAGTCATTTCCTTCTTCCTAAATCAGGAATATTACCTTATTATGTACTGGGAGTTTGAAGATTAATTAATGAATCTTGATACTAGCCACAGAAAATACTATAAAGAAATTAATCATTCTTCCTTCATAATTAAAATAATATGGAATTAAGAAATAAATCTTGTGGCGAAAGACTGAACAGAGATGGTAAGACAAAATTTTTACTACCTCTGTGTTGAGTGAGCATCATCCTGTGCCCAGATTAAAGCAGGAGGCATGTGGAAAGAAAACATATAACTAAAATATTTCATAACATATGCATATAAGGGGACTAAATTTTGCAGTTAAATTTTTTGAGTACTTGGCTATGCAACCTTCATATTGTTCTTTTAATGCATTTTTTCCCACTTAAAATACACACACCAATATTCTACCTTTTGCTGTATATATTTTGATGGTATTTTTCAACAATACACTATTTAAAACTCAGAAATTAACTTCAGTTAACAGCTCTTGATTTACATACTACTGACAAGTTTCATTTTCATAGAACATAATAAAAAAATGCCCTTACCGTTTTTATTGATCTCACAGCTACAATATCCAAGAAGGTTACTGCTCCAAAATCAAGAATGAGACTGTGGATGGGCACCTTGGGGATGTTTACTTTGACTGGGAGTTCTGAATTCCAGTCCACCTGAATTTCTACTTCTTTGGTGGGAACTTGAAGATCCTGGTTGTCTTCAGGTTCCTCATCAGTCTCAAAAGCTTCGTTATTAATACCAGGCTCACTGATGATGCCATTCTGATGAGCAGATAATATATGGAATATTGAATTTAATCACGGGRTAAGTTTTGGAGTTACAAAAAAATACTTCCCTGTGGTACCTTCCGTTGAAAGAATTGACAAGACAGACACTTGTGACCAGTACCCCCTGCTCCCAATCCTGGCGCTGTGGTTAGCATAACTAATGCCATTTTATAAGGCAAGAAGCCATTTTCTATGGGTGAGCAGGTCATGTATTTGCTCCCTTTTCCCTCATTCTCAGGTCTTGAAGGTCCTGTGAACCAATTAGACAAATCAAACCCATTTCTTCTTCATCTCCCTACTGGCCTCAAGATTCCTGGGCACCAATCTGATCTTTCCCTTTCTTGCTGACCTTGAAGGTCCCAGGCAACAACCAAGTGTAGCTGATGACCCCATGACAGAACAGGGAAGCGTAACAGTGCACAGAGCACTGTCTAAGACAAGTCCTGCATGGGAAATTTGGACCAAAACCACTGCTGGACAGAGAGACCCTGAAAGGCCAGGGATGCTTTCAACGTTTTCTGATTTCTCTGAGAATTGGTGACTCCTCTTCTTTTATGTGATTTTTAAGTCTAGATTATGATTGTTGTATTGATACATCAAACCATGTATTCAAATTTCCTATGATCTGCAGAGGGGCCAGGTAATTAGAAATCCTAAGTTAAGGTAGGGTCTAGGTGATCAAAATTGTCATTTAAGTTGTATTGGAAATTCTATATTARGCTACTTATAAACTGTTCTACCATGTAATAAGTCACCCTTTTCATTCTATTTTAAAGATGAGTATAGAGTAATTAATAATTAAACCTGAACAAAAAAGCTGCAATTGTTAATACTTTGAGAAAAAATAGAAATAAATAATTTTAAAGGCCTACCTTCGTAGCTTTTAATTTTCCCTTCTTGACCAGCTTTTGTATTTTCCTCAGTGCTTTGAGTCTCTTGTTATATACCTTGACTGCATCAAATCCCACCTACAAAAAAAGGAACAAAATTATTTAAATTAACCTAGATATAATTCTGAGGAAATCTCAAGGATAGTTAAGAAGCTTCCAAACCCATCACCTATCACTTACTGTGGATTTGAGGCTGCTTTTCAGTCCATCAATGTTAGCATAAAAAATTGGACTTGAAAACTTGAGAATCTTCACACCTTCTGGTTCTATAACCTGTTGCCAAAGAATATAAGGTTAAACAGCAACAGCCATATTTTGACAAATAAGAAGCAGTTGAATTGTTTCAACAGTTCAACTACAATCTAATTTTATAAAACCAAACACGTATTTGTTGATAATTGAGGGGATTCAGTTGTTAGTACCTTACAGCCCCAGCATACAAAATGGGCTGACCATCTGGATGAAGATGATGCTGAAATCTGTTATCTTTGATGACTCCACTTCCAAATTCAAGTTGTGTACAATATGCAAGGCACCACTTTTTCTTACACTGACTTGTAGACTGAAGGGAAACAAGTCAGCAATGACTTACATTTTTGTAGTCCTTGACCTTCTTGTAGATGTCTGTGCCAGGAATGTTTCCAAAGCCTCCCCATGAAGGACTAACAGAAAAAAAGACAGTGAAAATAAATGTCATATATGGGCACTTACAGAATTGAAGGGATTGCTGAATACAAAGTGTCTTAGACTCCTGTAGTTTGCTTTCTAATGCCAAATTAACTGATGTGCAAAAGTGTTGCAATCTGTTTTGTGTCCCTGTAGTGAATGTGCTTTTTTAAAGACAAGGTACTTTGGTCTCAGCCTGCTTGCTGCACCATTTTAATTTAAGAGCAGAGTGAGCATCTTGTTCAATTGATTTCCCAAACTGGAAAAATATTTTTAAAGCAGATTAATTTGGTTTGAATTTAAAAAAACATTTTTTTACTCTGAAAAAAACTGATCACTTTTTTCCATTTCAAATCAACCAAAATACATTTACATTCTTTTCAGATTATGTAAATATTTTTGTCCAACCTTTTTAATTTTTATTTCAGTCAATAACAAAACCAAAATATTTTGCAGTCTCCAGATACGTATTTAACAGTTGAAGCAAATTCTTCTTAAGTTTCTTAAGTTCTTAAGTATGGCTTCATCTCCCCTCTACTTTGGTAACATCATCTGAGTGGAATTTGGGAATGTTTTTTTGAAGCTCTTCAAATTCCATTTTTTTAKAATCTACTACTGTAAAACAACTTTTTCAAGGCTTTATTTTTATGCATTTGCTGACAGTGCAACTATYCTTTGGTAATGCTGGTTACCATATTCTGTGGACTCCAAGCTGAAGGAAAGGAGTTGTGTTGTATTTTCAAATTGATGAAAATAACAAGATAACAAAATAAGGCTCTTCAAATYCACCTTTTCTCACCATTCTACTACCATATATTCTTTAAGCAGTTACAAATCATCCAGAAGCACAAWTTTTTTTCTTATTCTCATGCTTTCTCTTGCTCTTCTTTTACAGCCACACAACCAGTCTTGTAAGCAATAACTGAAAAGATMCTTGGCATGTGCAATATACTGTAGTAGTATTACCTGCTAAGAGTTACTATAATGATTAATTAATTACAGAAGCCAYACATCTGTTTATATTTGATCTAGAATGTTCCTATCCCTTTCCAGAACTCAGTTATGTGGGTACATAGAAAACATGTGGCTAAGTACCACCAGAGTGGCCAACATGATATGGAATAGATACTGAAAAAATAATATGGCTTCTGTTTTAACAGTGTAATTAAATGATAGCACACAAAGAGTGTCTGCTMTAAAAAAATAGATTTTTTCATTTCCAAATTTTTGTAAACCCACRGAGATATTCTGCAACAAATTATGTTGCTTTTCAGCATATTACTTTCCTTTTTYATAATATAAAACTAAGGATTATTTCTGATACTGTATTACTTACAACTGAACTCTCAGCACAACTGTCAGCAATCCAAACAAAAGGCCAGCAAGTAATCCCAAATCAAGTCCCAGAATGATSGATGCTATACATGTAAAGACCCAGATCATCTGGCAAAGAAATAAAAAATGTGAAGTATTTTCATATATAAAATGTTAATATACTGGTCATTCTAAAGAAACACTGGACCAGATAATATGAGTAGCAGATTTTAACTTTGGAAMTGAGTGTAGCACACTAGCAATTAGCTGACTTCCCTACAAAAGTCTTCTTCTTCCTCCAARATGCTTTTATCTATCATTGTCTTATTAGGCATAGTTAGCTTTTTAGGAAACAAGGGGGTTTTCTACATAACAATACTTTTTAAGGATCTAATTCCTTTGGTGAAATTAAAGGAGATACAGTTAAACACTGCATTTACTTATTTCTGATGACGGCAATTTTTGATAATTTTCCTTAAAAATTGGAAAAAAAWTTATTTTATCAAGATGTAAAATAGTGTAAGATGCCTCCCATGCAGACAYATAGGGAAGGGAGGGAATTTCTCAGAGATATCTAAGAATCAAAACTGTTGCAAAGAGAGATATTTCACATTAACAGGTTGATGGCACTTCTCTAAGATCTCCACTGAATATTCAGGCAGAACAGTTGAAGTGCACTCCTCAGTTCTTTCCTACTTCACTGCCCAGGCAGAACAGGCAGTAGACTCAATTTTTAAAAAAGCTAAGTGCTCACACTTCTCACTGAAGTCAATGGGATCTTTTGCCTATAAACCAGAAAATGATTGACTAAAATATTTCAGATCTAAGACAGGTACTGCCCAATGACACTAAYTGTAAAATCTAAGGACAGTAAGGACTGCATGGAAAAAATGTCTTCCATGCAAACTTTTCCTACCCTAAGARCCACAGTGAAAGTCTGTTCCACAGAAAACACAGTGGGAGATGTGAGCAAGTACCCTGAGACATGGTTATAGTGGTTCATAAGAAAAGTCTGTTCATACATCCCTGACCATGCCAAATGAATCCACATTCTAGCTTGGATTAGTGTTGCTACAACAAAAAAAAACCCATATTTTTCTGAGGACTCTCTGAGATTATTCAGGCAAATGGGGATGTTTATGTGGTAACAACATAAATATATGTACATGACTTAAGGAAAGGTCAGCTTTTCTGACTCATTTAAACTGTGCAAAAGATAAAATCAGAATGGTAAAGGCCATCTTTATTCTGCTTTGCAAGCCTTTGCTTTACATGACTGCTGTAAACTATGGAAATGAATATGAAAGAGTTATCACTGCACAACCTGATTGGCATCCTTACTGCAGGATATAGGGAATAAAGAAGATTAGCAGAACACTGACCTAAAAAYTTGGATTTTTAACTGACCTCATGGCATTTGCATTTTGAGGATGCACATAAAAATTTTCTGATGTTAACTCCTCAAAATCCTGTTAATGTGGTAGTTAAGATAAACTTGGATGGCATTAAAAGGTAAAAAAAAACCAAAAAACCAAAAGTGGATAAAAACATTCAGGAGGAAAAAAAATTAGGTTACTTACAGCGTCCACTTTATTCTGTCTCCACAGGCGGGGAACATCAAAGACTTGCATGAACATCCCTTTCAAGTTAGCTATGACTACAGCTGCCAACACAGACTGTGAAGAAAAATGACAAAAAGTGGTATTCAGAAGCAAATACGCTATTGAGAGAGTGCTCAATATTACACACTGTAAACCACAGCCCTGTCTGGAATCAGTCACCACAGTTTAAAGAGGGATGTTAATCTTATCCATCATAGTTGAGCATTTGGATTTGATGTGTCTGTACTGCAGAGGAAGAGTACAGTACCTTTTGTAAGGGCTCTAGCAATTTCCCCAGGGCAACAATAGAAATCAAAACGATCCCGGCTGAGATTATACCAGCAACCTGCAAAGAACAKCATTTATAGGAAATGAACTTACTACAAGTCTATCATCTGTTTCTGAGATAATAAAGAAAAAGGTACAAATAGTTGCACATTACATTTCTGTAGGAACAAGGAGATCTGCCAAAATGTCATTGTGTTTAGGCATATGTGGACAACCATTATCCACTTCAGCTAACACAAAGGGMATTTAATTAAGCAGGTAGTTTAAACAAACTCAAGGTAGTAGCTCTTGGAGGGGTTATGTTACATAGCCAGATGAATGGACCAGTTCATGTGTCAGCTGGAAAAGGAGCTGCTGGATAACCTGTAGTTTTTCACTGTTAAAAACTGCATAACTGTGGTATGGTAAAACAAAGTAGCTTACTTAACGTGAGAAAGATGGTCCATGGCTGATGGTGAATGGCAAATGGCAGAGCTGCTCAGGCCAGCACATGGAAGCTTAAAGATATCATGGCCAGCTAGGACAGATTTCCTCCCACATCCTACTGTGACAGACTCAGTCCTTTAATTGGGAATGAAGTTCTGGGGAACTAGAGATAAAAGATTTCTGACACGTAAGGTAACTCATGCTATGTAAAGCTTGATTGCCCTCTTCTGGCAGAGCTGCAAAAATGATTCACTACTAGAGYCGAGCTGCGAAGACACCTGTGGCTTTTCATGTGTCAGCTGGGACACATTTTAGGACTATTTTCATTGCACAGTGAAATCTGTGTACTATACAAAACTAAATTTACCTGTGCACAGTACTAGTAAGAAGAGGTCATTACCTGAGTCTTTCCACCAGTACTTTCTTGGACTGCAGTTCGTGAAAGAGCAGTAGTTGCAACAAAACAAGAAAAGGCACCTGAAAAAATGTTGCTGAACCCAAAGGCAATAAATTCCTGAAAGATAATTGGATGATGCTGTAAATACAGATGCCTGAAGACAGTTTTTCARTGGAGAATGACAGTAGCTTCTGCAGTAATTGATAATGTAGGTAGCACAATGATATTGAGAAGACTATGAATTAGGAATAGCTGTTAAAAGTTTACACAAATTCCTCTTGTGCCAGTGCAGCTACCTCTGTTTGGAAACCAGCACGAAACTGGTATATGTCCCCTGACAAAGACATASTCATCTGAGTATAATGGTGTTTGAAATTTACTTCCATCAGTGTAACCAAACCTTACATTTCTAATAATTACACTAKAGTAATTGCATCAAGTATAAATTTAACTCCCAGGTGTCATCAATGAAACAAATTATTTTGATCAGTACAATAGTCTGAGTTTAGACAAGCCTTTAACTAATGCATAGCATTGTATCACTATTAGAACTATTAAGGAATTTTGTAATAAAACACGGTTTCACTGAAAACTTCTAGTTTGTTAAGCTAGAAGTTTTTCACTCTAAGCATCCCAATGAACTCATGCTGAGTCGCAGGCATGATTCTCATAGATTTGCCTCAGGGTCACAGATGCTGGCACCTATTGATGGTGGTTCTCCTCAAGTGACAAGGGCCCTAGGAACTTTATGTCCTGGGATGTGGCCATTCCTCTGCTGGGAAATAAAGAATTTGGAAGCTGTCTGCAACCAACCCTATATAATTGACAGAAACATTATTTTCACCAAGCTGACACAGGCACGAGAGCTTTTCACTCACTGAAATCTTTAAAAAATAAAATTTAAGACTTGATTTTGACTGTCTCCCTTTTCTACAAAATTAAATTTCCTGTTTAAGTTTTTCATTTAGCTCCAACTACAAAAGCAGGGAAGTCATGTTCTTTAACAGAACAGACCTAAATTATTCATGCCTATTCCCATGTTACCACTGTGACCTGTGAGAAAATATTGGAAGTACAATTCCTTGTGTTTCTAGGTGTTAGTAATGTGAAAAAGAAGAAGAATTGTCTATGAAGACAATTTAAGCACTGGAAGATAATAGTATTAATCCATCCTTCAGAATTGTTTTACCACCTGCTTTTATGATGYTATTTTAACTTCTCCAGATCAAATAAACTATTTACCCATCATTCTGGGCTGTATGTAAAAACCTTTGCTCCATGTAAAATTCACGACATAGTAGAAACAAAAGCACTTTGCTTTTATAAACTAATACTTCTACTGCAATATCTTTGAAGMACACCAGTGCTGGCAGAACAACTTATTCAACAACAGAACCACATAAACAGCATTTCTAGGATTGGGTATTATTCTTTCAGATTTAGTAAACTGAAGGTTGGTGCATTGGGGGCAACTAACACCAAGTGTTACCAGATAGGGCCTTTGAGGATTATAAATTGACAAACAGAAGCATAATTTTCTTATAYAGTACAAAACAACATTTCCAAAATCAAACTTTATGTAATCCACTAGTGCTAAAATAAAGGACTCATTAAACAAAATACTCAGCTTATCTATTTATTATAGCRAGGGCATTTTCTAATATGCTCAAAGGATAAAATTCAGAATTACCATAGATGCTTTCTGACATTTTAATTCCATACCACGGGCAAGCAACATAACCCCCGGTGAAGACATTYAACAAATGCAGGAATCCTGTAAGAGCTTGTGATGCACTGCTCATGTCACATTCTAGCTATGTGSCCCTAGAAACCAATGCTTGAAGCAGTTCAGCTGTTTAGTGCACACAGCTATTCCAGCATGTTCATATCCTGGTAGGCTTACCTTTTGTGAAGCTGCAGGAGTGATCTATTAGGCTACAAGTACAGTTATATTGATGTAACTGCTGTCATGCTKAGAAGTACAATAATTTAATAACTGTAAAGTTCAACTGATTCAAATCCTGCAGGTAGACTAAGCCTAAATAAAGCTATCCAGAGCAACTTCTTAGCTTGACATTGCATTCCCCTGCCCCAGCTACACACCTCAAAATACTCCTTACAAGAGGAAATGGCCAGCTAAAGCTTGTCACCTTGACACCACCAGAAACTTCCCCTATGCAGTGCTTAGCCCATTCAGAGCTACTGCAGTCACTAAACCAGTACAGAAAGAATGAATTAGTATGAAAAGCCCATACTGAAGATGGATCTGGCTCATCTCTATGTGGCCATTTCAGCTACCTTTTTTCTCAAGAGTTGAAAAAACTTCTGCCAGATTTCAGTGCTTGTCTGAAAATGTGCGTGAATGGTGTTTCTTTCATTTGGCTACATAAGTCAGCATGAAACAACTTGCATTCACTAAATTTATAAACTGTTTTGGTTATACATACCTGGTTTCCATCAATAGCATAGTCATACTTGGTTGCATACACCTTCCCCACAGATACAGCRATAGCATAAGCAACAATGGCAATGGAAAAGGAGGCTGCTATCATCTGGGAAAACAGGCTGACATTTGGAGGCTCAGGAGGCAAAAATCTAGCATTTAGAAAACATATTAGTATTACCAACTTTGAYTGAATTCTGTTCTTACCAGAACTGTCAAGGAGTTTGAGGTGGAGGCATACAGGTTGCTTATAATATGAAGTGTAATGTTTCAAGTTAATAAAAAGGTGGAAACAGCCCATTGACATACAGAACACGCTTATCTAGCTCACCACAGCTCAAATCCTGATGCTATTAGTCAGCAACAAAGCTCCCATTGTTCTCAGMATGACTGAGATTTGGCCTTATGATAGCAAAGTGAAAAACTACATTTTTTKAAGCATTGAATAAAGGATGTATTGAATAGTATGATGAATTACATAAATATGTTAATGACACTTCATACTATTGTTAACATACTTTTTCAGTAAGATCCCAAAAGCATTTTATCCCCTACTGTGTTTCCACAAATTTTAATTAATCAAGCCCTGAATACCAAATGGAATGTGAAGGTTACTACTGTGAAGTGCTCTGAATCTTTCAAGTGAAAGTCTCTGCCACTGTAATCCTCAACATCCTTGCTCCTATGTGTATGGAAGTGACAAAGTTGATTGGGATAGCAGTAGTGGCACAAATATGAACCATAGTGGGATAACTCAGGATTACAGAAATTAAATCTATGCAGAATTTCTTTATTAACAATACTTTTAAAAAAAAAAACAAAATTATTTTCCACAGTCGTATAGTCACTTCATGAGCAGGAAGCAATTAATTTGCAGACAGACTTCATGAATTAGATAGTCATTCCTAAGCCCATTTTACAGAAGAAGGAAAGCTAGGCAACATATTTAGGTAGCATAATTGATAGAGCCAGAAGTAAAACTGAGGAAATCTCCAGACCTGAGTTCTAAACTCAGTTTACAGCTCTCAATGTTTCTTTTATGCATTTTTTCTTACTACAGTCATTTTTAGCCATTTAAAATAATACCTTTTTTTCCAAAAAAACAAAGATACTCACCCTCTTGGAATGCTCTTAACAATGCCTGCATTGTATTTTTTTTCCAAGTTGGCAGCATATGAAATGCCAGTGGCTACTATTGTCTGTAATAAAACAAAAATTTTTAAGACTTAAAAAGAGTTCCTGTCATCCTGYAGCTAGACCATCTACTTTATGCTTCTTTGCTTACCACAATAACTTCTATTGGTATGGGTATAGGTATCTTGTGTTTGAACCGGTCGTTTATTTCTTTAACAACCATGCAGACAAAAATGGTGAGGAGTCCAGCAATWAGATCTGCAACATTGGTGGTACCAATTTTTTCAAATGTTTCAACGAGAGTCTGAAAAATAAAAATGATAACATAAAACACGCCCATTCCCACTTAAAGRATGTGCAAATACTCATGAGGTGATCCAGATGCATGGAGTTTTGGAGAAGGCCAAGTAACTTCTTTGTTCAGGCCTGGAGAAGCCTTAGGACAACGCAGTGTCAAGGTGRTACAGAATCAGTAAATGGATTTGACAGATAATTTAATGGAAAAAGCATAACAAAATGAAAGAGTTGTCCACATAGGGGGCTTCTGCTTCCCAATTTTAAGGCAATTAATAGTAAGTAAAAAGAACTAACTCACTACCTGTGTTTTATCTCTACCTGCATTGGAGCAAGGAAGGGAAGATCTGTAGCTTCTTCACTTTGACAAGTGAAGGAAGCAAGGAAGATCCTCATTTTTCTAGTCAAAAGAGAGGTCGCAGACCCATGGGCAAAACTCTGGCTCACTACATATGGTCTGTGCATTACATGGTTCTTATTTCCACTGCTGACATGCAAAGAATGAGTGTGACCACATAAGTCCTGCCAGGCTATGGAGAATCCTGCACTTCAGAAAAGCAGTCACTAAACCTCATCTTACAGTACATTTACCCTCCCAGCAGAGTTCAGCYCCAGACTGGAATGCTCACAACTGGGCTGCAATAGGCAGCTCCCTTCTCTACCCTTCCTGTGCCCTTGCTTGACCCTATTGTTTATTACAAATAATTGCACAGAGAAAACATGAAGGGATGATTACAGAAAAGTCACAAATAATCCTCTGTCCTCCTCCTAAGCATCAGGGTAGTTCTCACTTGCCTCCTGTCTCCAAGAAAACGTAATTATCCCATGTAATTATCCCAATGAGGCAGCTGTAACAGAATGATCTGGTAGAAAATGGGTTAGAAACAGACTTCTTTCATCCTGGTTAGCTCCTCCAGTAACGAGCTTTTGGTTTAAACACAAGGGGAGGTTTGCAGCAGCAGCACCACTCCAACCCTGCTGAACAGACTTTGGTTTTGAGTTAAATATGTAAGTGCTCAATCGGGTATGTTTTCTAGGTTAAGGAAGAAACCCTCCTGAAACACTGAATCAGATGCCCTCACTTGGTTGACTGAAGCTATTGCCCATTYTACAGTCTACCATGGATGCCATAAGAATGGCTGACCACCTCTTGCACTGCTTCACCTCACAGCAGAACAGCAACTTCTAACKTTGGTTGTGGATTTTGCTCATGTTGGATGCTTGGTGTTGCAGTTCGTTAAACAACACTGTTGAAGCAAGTCCAAAACTTGCTGAAGCAGACACAGCAAATCACTGGTTGAGCAGACCAGAAATAACAATTTCTTTGCTCTACATGCACTTGCAAACACAGTGACCTGACTCACCTGTAAGAACACAGAAGCTTTGAACTTTAACCTAAAAAGTCAGCATCCCACTCAGGCTTGCTAGTGCTGGAAGAACCATGTAGATCCTTTTAAAAAGTGTGTTATACTAAATGTACCATCCATTCAATAAACATAAAAAAGAGATGGGAAAAAATGCTGCATTAACAAGTCCATCACTCTGCCAGGTCTGCTCTAAGGTCTATTATACAGTACTTTGTCTCATCTAACTTTCCTTGCTCTGAGGGAAAGAGTTTTCATTAATACGGAAAAAAACCCATAAGATAATATTTTTTTACCGCCACAAATAATCCTCCAGATTTCTTTTTAATTTTTTATCTTGCTATTTATAGTCATATTCATCCTATTATTGTTAATCTAGATGTCTGTTGTATTTTTGCTAGTCTGGTTGCCAGAATTGGCACACAAAATCTCCAAATACATTTTTTTTTACAAGAACAGCCTCTTTTAGAAATCTGCTATTCTTATATGAAGTGCTRTGGAAGATCTAAAATACTGTGGACYTGGATAGTTTCATGCTGAAGTCAGTGATAAAAGTGAATAATTTTCCTGGGAAAGGATACTATTTTGTAATACAAGACCTCTAGGAATTCAGTATTTCTGTAATGCAGACATTTCTCCATTTGACCATGTTTTGTAAAATCAACAAATGGAGTTGTGATAGTAACACTCAGACTCACATTTGCTAACTGATAGGTACCTGGCCAAAGGGTGGGAATCTGTATCCATTAGGTATTCAAAAGCATGGCTACAAGTGTGAAATGGAGAATGACGTACCAATTTAAGTGTAAAGAGCCTTTGGACTGGCCAGCTTTGGGAGATGACCTGACATGGTTAGTAAATGATCAAATGTCCTTCACAGTAAGTGAGAAAGCAAGGAATGGGACAAATTCCAGAAGTGAAGAACTGTTTTAGTGCATAATCACCTTTAAACCTCATGTGAAAAACTGCTCTGTCTGAAAAAGACTTTAAGATTAAACTTTCTGTSTGGGGAACTCCAAAAGTAGCTACTTAGAGCCCCACAGCTATAAATGAACAGCTGCAGATCTTCATGGAAGTGAAAATTAAATGAATGCCTTATACTTACCATGTATGAACCATCCCTGTGTGAAATGGAAGCAGGAGATAAGCAATTATATTTTAAAAAAATCTGTCATGAAACCAAAGCAGATAAGAAGGGGATACTTACATATATTATGGAAAGGACACCATTATAATTTTTAGTTGAAACATTCAGAACTATTTTCAATTGTGACACMAGCACTTGAAAAGCAGCTGCAGTTGTGAATCCCCCAACTAGTGGATCTGCAAGGTACCTCACAATGAAACCAATCTGAAGGACTCCAAATATAACCTGGAAAAATCATGAAGARTAACAGCTTGTTAAACAACAAAAGGGTACACTTTCATTTGGAGCTTTCTTGTGCTTTGTTTTTTCTCTTTGTAAATGCAGTCTTAAACCCATATTTCCCCCATTTCAGCCTARTGTAGCTTAATATTCATCCAAGAATGATCCTTAGTATCATTCATCCAAGGAAATAAAGGAGACCTGAAGAAACGTGTGAACAGAAGTTCAAGCATATGCACCATTAGTACTCAGTTTCATGYAGGTCTTCTGGTCTGCAACCACAAGGCTATTCTACTCCCTGTGCTCCCAGCCATGCTGTCACAGATTCTGCACAGGATAAGAAGCTCTTAGAAGTTTGCAGTAACATTTCCTCATTTTTGCATTTTATTACAGAAAAAATGTCTGACTGCCCTAGTAGGTATGTTCCTGCCATTAAAATTAAAGCAGTGTCAACCTTGTGTCTTCAAGTCAATTATTTTACCTGTAAAATTCCAACYAGGAACGTGAGAGTACTAGCAATGAGTACTCTCTGTGCATCTCTGGATTCAGTGTCTATCAGTGCCCCAGTGCCATTAATCCCTGTAGCATTACTGCCTTCTATGAGAAAATTCTCATCAGGGGCCATGCTCAATACAACAGATCCCACCATTAAACTGACTACTGGGAATGGACCTGTAACAACAAACAGAACACATTAAAGTTTAATAAACATTGAAAATAAAAAATTTGTCAGATTAGGCAAGTACTCSAAGTCAGAAAAACCATGTAATATTATAATTGGGGTACATTGRTAGTATTAGGGGGCCAGGAGCCACAGGCACTGCGTACATTACACAAAAATACTGCTCCTTTAAATACTGCTCCATTTTAAAATAATTCATGTTGTACATACAGGTATGGTCTCAGTTTCATGCTTTGCTTAAGCCAATYTAGGGCTGTAGCAAGGCCAAAAGGGGCAACATGTTCAACATGCTCAAACCACCTCCCTCGTATCAGCATCACAACAATACAACCCAGATCACCAATCCAGGTGAAAGTAACRTTTATTTCATTAAGGTTTGGGTTTTGTTTGTTTGCTTGCATTATTTTGGTTGATTGATTTTATGGKTTTTTTTGTCATGGTTAGTTTTCAGCTGATCCAGTGCTCCGCATAGCTACATGGTCAGGAATCCCAACAACCATGATTGTGGCAGGAACATGGTTCTATGGGTAGGACCACAGCTTTTCGCAGTAGTGTGCTATTAAATTGGCTAAAGATGACTGAAACGATACTTTGGGCAAGATACAGAGAAAGTGATCAGCAAAACACAACTGAAAAGTAATCATATTCGTGGCAGCTATCTACTAAAATTATGCAGAAAAGGAAAATATCACTAAGTGTCTTAAAGAAGGTTAAGTTAATTTTATAGATACCTCATGATACTTCATGAATAATAGCACTGGGAAAAGCATAAAAAAGGAGTGTTTGATTATGTAGAAAGTAGGAATGCTGCTATAAGTAGACATAACAAGTCAGATCTGGATAGCAAATGTGAGCTGCTTGRTAGGGTAGGAAGGGGCATTTAAAGTCAAGAAAACATACAGAGGCATTTGATGCAGCAGAGAAGAAAGCTGATGAAAATGCATAGTATCATGCCAAAGCTCTGGGAGAGGAAAACAATTTGTTCTTAGTAGATATGAAGAAGGAAAGACTAGATTTTGTTAGAATGAAGAAAAAGGACCTTCAGTTATCAAGCTGTAACAAGAATTTCAAATGTGAGAAATGACAGGAAGAAAACCTCATATTCTGAAGAAAGTATTCAGAAAGAATCAACAAAGTTTACCCATAGCCTTGATGTGAGGACCTAGAGTGAGGCTGGAGAGGATACACAGGTTCTGGGTCTCCACGACAGGCAAGAAGATACTGTCCACAGTAATCAAAAAAGGATGCAAGTAAGGCTTGTAGAGAAGACTAAAAGAGATCTGTTTTAGCCATCTTGAGCTTTAGTTGATAGATAAAATGTCTGTCATTCGCACTGCCTAGTGAGGCCTTGATCTCATAATTTCTTGCATAGAGTGTATAGCCAAAGACAAGATTTAAAGTTCAGCGCAAATTCAAGCAAAAAGCAGGGGCACAACTGAAGTTAGCTATTATGCACAATTGCCTGTATAGAGAAGAAATAARCCTTAATTTTCCCAGATCCACCAGTATTAATATTTACCACATCCAATTTGTTTCAGAAAATAGTTATATTGTATGAAATAGGAGTGTCCACAGTAAGAATTAACACTTTGTAATAGATAATTCACTGTAACTTGAACACATGCAGTTACCAACTGAGATGTGCCTTGATGTTCCCAGGAAAAAGTATGTCAGGATGGGAAAAAAAGCAGAATAGAGACCATATCCAACAGGGACTGCAACCAGCAAAGCATATGCCAATCCTGAAATGATAGATGATCAAAATATCACTTTAAGATCTTGCAGCAATATACTATCTTGTTAGAATAGACTTTCAGAAAGATTTATTGCTTTTGCCCAGATGAAATTTAGAATATGTTTTGTCTGTAAACCAGTTGCAGGCCCACGTGTAAGTACCAATGACCATAAATTACTCTATCCCGTGCTGGCAGGTGGGTGAGTAAGTACTGGAAGATGTTCCTATCTTTGCATAGGTAGCCCAACACACAGGCTGAGACAGGAAACTTAAGTGGAGAACATTGTTGCAAGAATGCCTGCCTCTGTGAAAAATCCATCWAACCCATCTCATTTTAAAGAAGCACAAGGATCCTGTGACACTACCTTCAGCAAAGATCTTCCAGCTCTGACACTCTCTTCGGAACTTTTGTCAGGAAAGAATCACTTTGTTTATTACTCAGGTCACCCCCTGCCTGGGGCAGAAGTTTGTAATGCTTTTTTTCTGCCAGTCTCTGCCTTCCTAGCATGCTCCAAGGGAACAGACAGGAGGGAATACTTGAGGCTAATCTGGAATGYGTAAACTGTTTTCTTTGTTCCCAATGTAAATCTTTGTTCCCTCCTGCAAACACTTTATTTCCAYTGAAGGAAAATGTGGAGCTGACACAGCTATTTTTGCCTGCTGCAGTCCTTAAAAGTTTGTGAAAATAGTATAAAAACCTCTATTGAGATGAAAGAAATGAGTGTGATGAATGTGTCAGGTTTATAGTTAGYCCTGTCTTAGATTAATGCTGCCTCAGGCAGGATGGTTCTGCCTTCTGAGTCTTTCTTAAGTAGCTTAACTRATTTCTGTTTATTTCTGCCACTTTCCTATTTGTTCATCTACTGAAAGCTTTACTAATAAATGGAATAAGGAAGTAAGGAAAACTTAATATTGCAAGCCATGTAAATATCCATCAAGTTTATTTTTTTTAAATGTGAATATGTCGCCACCTCCTTGAGGRTTGTCTTCTGCAGATACCTGAACAACCTTAAGAGATTAATTTTAAGGAGGAGTAGATATCAAGGCTGGATCACTTCAGGGTAATAACTAGCYTTTTGTAGGCAGTTACAGGAGAGCTGTTGGCTTGGACAACCAAGAAAGAGAAATAAGACCACACAATCTATCTGATTTATCGCAGTGTAATTAAAATTTTAAATATCAAAATGAATACTCTCTGAGAAAAACGCCTGGGAAAAAAGATAATTATATCTTGGTAGCACATCAAAGGAAATTTAAATCTTCCASACAAGGAAAGAAAATGGAATAAATAAAAACCATAAATTATTTATTGCAAAATAATACCTAATATCTAGTATTAAATAACAAGCCTCAGATTTGTAATTCCATCTGCATAACGTCCCTGTGTTCGGCCGGCTMCCTCATAGGAACGTCCTGGAGAGCCGAGTGCCGGCGTGCCTGGCTTTACCTTGCAGGGTGGCAACGAGGCCGGTGCTGAGCCCCGAGATGATGTCGCTGATCAGCCACTCTTTCACCCGGTAGTTGGGCAGCCACTCCAGGATGGGCAGAAAGGACTTGGCAATTTGAAAGGCTCTTTTTCTTGAACATCTGCGAGAAAACAAGTGATGAGCACACCCCCCAGTGCTGCAAGTGGAGCGGCCCAAGAACCCCAAACTGACAGAGAGCTAAGCTGATGCACATTTAAATTTAAGAGGCAGTGATAGTCACGGTCTTGTCTTCCAGACAGTGACGGGGCACGCACTGGTGTCAAAAGCGCGCTCCCTGAAGGAAGTATCCTGTGGGCAGCTGAGATAGGCAGGGAAACAGGGATGCGTCTGCCCGCAGTCTGGCGAGTGGGGCACTGCATCCCTCGGCRGGTGGAGTTTGTGGGCGCCGGGAGCGCGCATCCGCCGGCGCCCCCCGGCTCCCTCCCGCCGCACGGACCCACCTGCAGGCCGCCTGCGCCCGCTCGCGGAGCGTGGGCGGCAGCGCCGGCCGCCGCTCRTTCTCCTCCTGGAAGCCGGGCTCGCTGTAGATGGGCCGCGCCACCACGTAGTGGCTGAGCTCGGCCAGCGGCTCGGCCGCCCGCCCGCCCGCGGCCATGGCCCCGCCTGAGGCGGCGGGCGGCGAGCGCGGGCCCCCTGCCGGCCCCGYCGCCGCGCCCGCGGCCCCGCAGCGCTGTCCGCGTCCTGAACCGCGGCTCCGACGGCTCTGCCCGCGCCCGCTCCCCGGCCTGGGGCAGGGCGAGCCGGCCCCGCTGCAGCCGCATTTATACGGCCGCCCACGGCCCGGCGCTTTATTTACGGGGAAACACAGAGACCCGGCTCCGGGCCGGCCCGGGCGACGCCCCCGGCCGCCCTCCCCCCGCAGCCCCGGTGCCCCCTCGTCAGCCCTGCTCGGGCCGGCGCTCCCCGGAGCGACCGCCCCGACCCCGCCCGTGCCCTCGGGCGGAGGCTGCACTTCAAAGGCGGCGGCCCGCGGGCGGGCGTCGGGGGAATGGCTGTGGGCYGTGCGGAGCGGGGCTGGCTGCACGCACACCCGCCGACAGGTGATGGCCTGTCCCCCGCACCAGCTGCCCCAAGAGCCACCTGCCGCTGGCGGCCGGCCAAAGTGCTCGCTGTTAAGGCGAGCCTGAGGGGGTGAGATAGGACCAGCCACTCAGTACACTGCTTGGCCCACATAGAAGCCTCCTTGGAGTTCCCAAAATCCTGCTGTGTCCCATGACCCAAGGTTTGGGCATCATCTCCATGCATAGATACAAATACCTAACAAACAGCATCTGCTCTCCAAATCACCCCAGGAGTCTCGGTGGGAAGACGTGGCTCAGGGCCTGCAGGCCCTTTGCGTCACACCTGAAATGACAGAAGGTCGCCCAGGGCTGCGGCTTCTGGTTTGCTCAAGGGGGTTTTTAGGGTATGAGCTCCTTGGCAGCCCTGCTGTAATTTATGATTACAGATAGGACTGGGCTGAAAGAGTCAGTCCTACATGCTGAATACTCCTGGCTACCTTTCAGCTCTTTCCCCTTACATACAGAAGACAACCTCGCAAAGATCTTGGACGAGTGAAGCAAAGCACATGTCCTCCTYACCCAGGAGACTTTTTGAAATAAGAATCAGTGCCAATGTTTCAGTCTACACCAAAGAGGCACTGAGGGCACACAGTGAGGGTATAGYACCAAGCAAAATATTTGTTCAATGAGCTACTCATGGAGTTCATTTCAAAGCAATTCAGTATAGTCCTAGCTTCACATATGTTGAAGCCAACATTACTAAAATGGAAAGATGCTACTTGCAGGAAGTACTTTTTGTACCTGCGGTCCAGGTTTCCTCATTCTGCAACTGGCTTCCTCTCTCCTGCACTGTAAGAAAATCTGGGTAAACTGCTGAATTGTTTTGATGTGAGCACTGTTGTATCCAGCAGTAATGCAGCCAGCCTCCAAAAAARAAGTCCCAGCGTTTTGTAGGAACCTGTAAGAACAGCACTCGAGTCAGTAAAAGCTGCCAGTTCATATCTAGAGGAATAAGGAAAGTGGTCTGATATAAATGCTACTTAATTAGGGTGGGAAAGCTTTCAGATTTTCTCATTAGCAGATAAGATATGGGGAAATGGAAGTAATATTGAAAGAGACATATTAGACAYATACTAAAGCACATACAGAAAATTGAGCTGGCATCAAAACTGAGTAATATATCAAGTTAGAATCCACTCCAGATAAAAATGGGGCATCATGAAAAGCAATTTTAAAATATAACTATGAAAAGCTGTTATGGTAATATCATCTTAGTTCTAAAATTAATACAAAGAAAATGCAATTACTCCAGCAGGCATAATGGCTTCTAGACTAATCATTAAAGCAAAGAACAACAGCAAAAAAATTTGCAGGAACCCAAAGTAGATGCCCTGCACTTACCACATAAACTCAATTTTCAGGACTGGCTGTGTATTACATATTATTTTCTCCTAGAATACTCACAAAATGAAATTATCTTATTATGTATCTAACTAGGATTTTRGAGGAGAGCTGCTTGATATCAAGAGGAAAAGACACCGTACTGAACAGGTAATTTACACAGGAAGACTATACAGTCAGAAGAATCTGAATTGACTATGACTCACASTTCTTGCAAATTTGTTTCCTGCAGCACATCTGCCTGAACAGTACTCCAAGCTTCAGCACCTCAGGTGATGAGATGCTGTAGGAACATCTGCAGGTGATGTACAGATAAGAWCTCCATAGGACCATACATTTTGGCAGGACGGAAGCATGCAAATTCAGACAAGAGGTCTCAAGAAAAAAATATCTCCATCTTTGTAACACAATGCATTTACCAGAATTTGAAAAGACAATTATTTGAGGAAGAGGCTAAAAACTGTAAACCCTAGCTCAGAATGGATCCCATGCACAGACACATCTGTGTCAAAGCRGTGCAACATTTTTCTGAACCGTGATGTTGCTGACCCCATTCAGAATGCACCTCCCTTCCTCTTACCTTTCAAACTAGAAGGCAGGCTCTTCATTTTTCARCATTAGCTTTTTTATTTGGTTGGGCGGTGATTTTTTTGTGGAGGGCCTTTTGTTGTTTTTTTTKGGGGGGGAGTGTGTTTAGGTTTTTTTTAGCTTGAMATTTGCATCAGTCTTCTGAATCCTCCTGTTTACCTTATTATTTGCTATTTTCTGATTAGTTCATGTTCATTTTGTACTTGGTATGAAACAAACAACCTAGGACAGATACACAGCTTGTTTCCAAGACCCCTACTTCATTGCATGCTCTGTTTCCTTAGACCTCTAATGCCTAAGTCATGTCTGGAGACAAATCAAAGCCAAAGATCTGTTCTTATTGGCCAAGAATAACAGTTCCTCTCTTCCTTCCTCTCACATTGTCCTTTCCATATGCTGTGAAACTCACAAGAAAGGAGTAGTTTAGCACGTTCTTCTTCTACAGTCACAGGAATATGSATTTAAACATCACACTTAGTAAGATGTAGCATATGGTCTCACCAACTAGGTGAGAAGTTATTACACTACCTTGCAAAACACAATTATCACCAAAGCTACTGCCTCTTCTGTGTTTTCAAAGACAAGAATAAATCAAATCGGGCTACACAGTCTGATCTCAACCAGCAGGATAAAGGGTTAAAGCTACGTAGCCTTGCAGATATGCATTTTTGACAGCAGCAATCGGTATCCAATTTCCAGACAATTTTGAGAAATCCTTCCCATATTCATGTTCCCTAAGAGCTGGTTTTGGCATCTCCTCCCTTCCAACAGGCACACTAGAGCTAATACCTAACTCCTACTGGTCACTAAACATAGTGGGGAGGTTCCCACTCACTAAACCCTGGTGCACCCAGGTGTGTTTGAGAGCCCAAACATCCCAGATGTGCTTCATGGAGACTGAGACCACCTTCAGAGAGTCCTGCATGGAATCCTTTAGCATGTAGAGTGTTCAGTTTTAGAACTATGYTTTCAGACATACCACAATTAATGCACAGAGCAGAAAGCAGCACCKAGTACTAAAGGACTGGAATGACATAACTGAGAGCTGATTTTCCAACTTATGAGTACAATTACTTGTATTAGGTTGCATCAGGACCCAGATTACAGCTGCCAGGGAGATAAGCACTGTCTAAAGGCAAGGCAAAATGACAGTTTCTGTCCCAAAGAGTAAATTCAGAATTTCAAAGAACACTCGAGAATTGAAGCAGTCATGTAGCACTTTCACTACATGAAACTTTACTTTTCACTACAGTAACTTTACATTTGGAAAAACAAATGTTATTTCAATGCTGAGTGAAAAACTGAGCTCTCACCRTTTACAAGAAGCTAAGAAAGCACAATGTCTTTTCAACGAGGCTACGTAGCCAGGGACTACTGTGGCAGCAAACACAGGGAGTGCTAATGCAAGGGCACATTTTCAGGAAAGACCATGCACRATTTATGTTATTAAAGAAGATACATTGTCAAATGTTTGTTGTAAAAATAGAAACAGGGAAAAACATCCTGCCTAGCTACAGGTGCTTTCATTTAAGGAAACACTAAAGCATGCAGCCAGGTCCATTAATATTCAGGTCAGGTCTCATGCACCCACCATGACCTCACTGCTTTCTTGACTCAGCAGAAAAAGGAGTTTATGAAAAAAAACATGGAAACACCCCTCAATTTTTATTTTGAAAGCTACTATCACTTAAAACCTGTGCAAATATTTTTAGAATAATCTCTCCCACGCTTCCCCACCAAAGTATGGAAAACACACATTTCTACTTTTGTAAAGAGGGAAAAAAGGCTCCAAAACAACCAGGCAATTACTTTGACATTATTTAGAGTATAAAGAGCTCTCAATTCTTACTTCTGGAGACATACTCAGAATAAATTAGCTGTCCAACATGAGAAAAAAAGTAACTTTGATTCCACCAGGATTAGTGGAGATTTAAGTGGAGATTTAACTTTTTTTAACTCTTTCTCACAACACAGGCACATGTGACCAAACTCTGACCCAATAGCTTCCAAGATCAGGAGATAAAAGCATGACATTTTGATTCACTCTTTCCCTGTATATTAACCATAACTTAAAAATTACCCATGAGAGAGCTGTACTTAAAGTTGATCAACCCAAACCCCCAAAGGCCCTGAAAGCATATAATGTGAAACAGTGCCAAGTACTCACAAGGATTTGCCATCTTCGAGAATTTCCAGATACACTATTCAGACTTACAATTTGACAAAAAAAAAGCCCACGTTCTTTCCATCTGCATAGCAGATGTTACTTTTAATCCAAGTAACAAAGGATTATTTTTCTGTGAACAAGGCTGGGACTCTGAAGAACTCAAAAGTGTGCTAATGCAACTCAGTCAAACGTGTGACCAACTCCAATACAGAAGTACACAAAATGGTCATACTCTGTGATAGGGAAACCTGACAAAGGATCCAACTAATGGACACAACAGAAGAAGTGAATGGAGGTAAAATAGAAAGWCTGTGTGTTTAAGGAATCTCTAATGAAGGGAGCTTTCCCTGTGGCCTGCTATCAAGGTTTCCTGTGTAATGTATTAAAGCATGTATGAATCGTGTGTTGAATGCACATTGCATGTCTGAAAATACCCAG